TTCACATATTACACAAGATATCAACGTTCATCATCCCCATAACATAACAGGAAACGGGGACGGAATTAATAATATTGAAATACATATTAATCTAAACGGGGGCGGGAACGTACTGACCTTATATTTGGAGATCTTAAGAGTTCTGTATTGATTCAGAATGCCTTCTTTAATTTCCCAGCTCCTTTCTTCCCTTCCCACTTGGTGAAATTCTTCCAGATTAATCTAAGTTATAACTAGTATTGGTTGGCCGAAATGTGTTTTGTGAGAACAAAAATAATTCTGGTCATACATATATATAGTGCTTGGCTGCCGTAGTAATTTAAATTTCTAGGAGAATGGACTTAATAACTCTACGTGTAAATTATATGAAGCTCCACTTCATAGCTTTATGAGGACTAAGCTTTGGTTCTAAACTTCAAGATAAACCTAAATCTAACACTCATGTTTATTCTCCTACACGTATATACATATAAACAAGTGGATTGTTTATTTAGTTCCAGCACATCATATGACTCACCTAAGAACTTAACTTACTCATCATTTTAGAAAGGTTCACGATAGGGTATTTTCCATTTTAAAGAGATCATATATGTGCCTTAGCTTTTTATTTAAAAGTAAAAAGTGAATTTTAAACTATTTTAATCATATAATTTCTAACTTATTCTCACGTTACTTTATTACTGATACCTCATGGAAATAAGTAGTATAAAATTTTAACTTCCATATTAAACGAGATAATGATTAACTAAAGATGAATATTTGAAATTATATTCATATGTAACCTAATAACAACTAGACTGGATTTTGGGGCGTTACATCCTCTTTTGTCTTTCTTGCAAAATAATGAGGAGGAGAGAGCCCACTCATGTGTCTTTCACACCAACCATCAACTTCAGCCCTCCTATTGCCTCACAACCATGTGGTGCGGCTCCTCTTTGACAATTTGAGCTAATAATTTCGTGGGGTGGCCCCCACACATGTGGGAGGTCATCCCTTTGTGTCCCGGTGTGTATAGTCGACCCCGAAAGTTGTATTTTTTTGGACTGTTTTAATTATATTTTATTTTATCAGGTCAAATAAAATATATTAAATGTCCATAACAATTATGAATCTTAAGAATGAATATACATTCCCCAACTTTAATTTAAAAGTCTCCGAAATTCATTTTTGGGCTGTTATCTCATAAATTGCCAGTACCGGTAATTGGGCTCTGTTTGACCAACCTGTCAACCCAATACCTTTCTTATGGCCCAACATGAATTTCCACCACCATATAACTATTATCTAGGCCAAGATGAATATAATATGTGGTCCCGGATTATTGGGTTACCCCCCGCTCCGTGTGTGGGTCCCACGTGGAATTTACTATTCGCGCAAAAGAAGTAACAAAAATTTACAACCTCGTAAATTCATTACTTAATAAACCATGTTCAATACATAATTTTCATAAAGGTAAATATATTTGGGGACGGTGTTACAAAAAATGTGTGAAAAATTGCATTAAATGGTAATTTTGGGGCAATTTTTTGAGTGGGGTCCACTTCTAATTTGGGTCGGGTCAAAGTGGTTTCGGATTGTCCTTGTTAAGGGCTACAATTCGATATGTGGTACGCTCAAAACGGATAACGGGTGAATGGGGAATTGATTCTCGAAGTTTACCCGTTAGAATGAGAAAACTGGGAAAAAAGATGAGTTTCTAGTGTGTTATTTCCCACACCGGAAAACCCAAGGGATTTGCAACCCTTTATAAAGGGACTCTCCCCTTAAGGAGTTGAGATTCCTTAGGGTAAAGGCTCTCTCCACGCGCGCAGGGGGTGCAAATCAAATCCCGAAATCGGAGAGGAAAAACCGCGACTTGCGAGCGCGGGCGACCTGCGGACACGAATGTCGTCCAAAAATCTATCTCTCAAGAGATACAATTAATTTTTGTTTTCTTCCCGAAATGTTTAATTTTTTCCTACGGAACAGAACACCTCGTTGGTGTTCTGGTGGCCTCGTGGCAGAACCCCTCATGGGGTCTTCTATTGGCCTCGGAACAGAACCCCTCATGAGGTCTTCTGTTGGCCTCCGAACAGAACCCCTCCCAGGGTGTTCTGGTGGAGGTCTTCTGTCGCACATCTGAACGGTTCTGAACCGTTACATTAATAAATGCCCAACGTTCTTATCTTTTAATGGACAGTTCATGGACGAATCAATGTCCAACGCACTAGTCATTGATGTCCAACGTTCAGGTCCATTAATTCACCATTTACACACAACAAAATCTCCTATATAATGGCTGGCAGGTGGTTTGCAACAACACACGTTGATACACACGTTCATACACATTCCTCACGTATTTCTGAGCTCAAAAACACCTCCAGCATTCCGAAAATTTCCTAAGTGTTCATATTGTGTTCTCGTTCGCTGGGACTTTTGTTTGTGTGCTCAAACATTAGTTCGTAGTCATCGTATCCCGGGAATCGATTGTTGCAATGCTGCTAGCACCGTGGGAGACAACAAATACGTTTTAAGGACATCATGCGTAGCACGAGCTTTGACTAATTTCTGCTCCATCTTATTTCTGTTTTCTTTCGTCATTTTAATTAATTTATTTTAATTAATTTTCTTTATTTTCCGAAACACACCTAAGAGCTCCGCCCATGGATGGGTTAAAAACGTTAGAGAGAATGGAATTGTGTAGTATACTTTATTAATTTAATAATCTATTATGTATGGTGGACAAAGTTAAAAGAAATGGGAGACTAAGCAGCACAAGGTGCAATAAGTATGGAAATGGGAGACTAAGCAGCACAAGGAAACTCTGACATGCCACTCTCGAACTTGTCTAAAAAGACCAATTTCGGGTCAATTTCTTCATGGTTGTAGGACTACTATAGCAATACATGTCTTAGAGACATGAAGTGTCGTGCCTGAACTATGCATGTCCCCTTGGTCTAAGACTTCTACTTTGATTAGATGTCTAGTTTGGACCGCTGAGCGGTTTAGTTGACTTCTCGCAACCTACAACGAACCGCCCACGTCGTCAGAGTATGAGCACTTCATCGTATCATTCAATCAATAAGAACAACAAGCGGTCAGCGGTCTGTCTGTCTGTTGGGTGTGTCTCGGAAATTAAGAAAAATTAATTAATAAAATTAATTAATAAATAAAATAGCCAAAGAAAACAGAAATGAGATGGTACAGAAAAGCGTGCTCGTGCTACGCTTGATTTCCTTAAAACGTATGAGACCATTGCAACGACCGTTTCCTAGGATACGATGGCTAACGAACTATCGTTTGAGCACACAAACAAAAGTTCCGGCGAACAAAACAGAAGTGTGAACTTTAACGAAACTACGTGAGGAATGTGTCAGTTGGTTTGTGAACGTGTGTTGTTGCAAACCACCTGCCAGCTATATATATTGATGGATTTGTTGTGTGTTAAGTGACCTTTAACGAATCTGAATGTTGGACATAAATGACCAGCACGTTGGGCATTAATATGTCATAAAACAGCCCATTTTAAGAGGCATTAAAAGACAAGAACGTTGGACATTTAAGGCCGTAACTGTTCACAACCGTCTGGTGCGCGACCAGAAAACCAGGTCTTCTGGTGCCGGAGCGACCAAAACACCATGATGTCTTCTGGTTCTGAGGTCTTCTGGCTGAGCAGTTTTGGTTCTGTAAAAAATAAAATGTTACGGGAAGAAACAAAAATTAAATTGTATCTTTGAAAGAAAGATTTTTGAACAACATTCGTGTTCGCAGGTCGCTCGTGCACGCAAATTGCGATTTTTCTTCTCCGTATTCGGGAATTGATTCGCAACCCCTGCGCGCAAAGAGACCCTTTCCACTTAGGAATGTTAACTCCTTAAAAGAGGCTTCCCTTTATAAGGGGTTCAAAATCCCTTGGGTTTTCCGGTGTGGGATAAATCACACTAGAAACCCATCTTTTTTTCTTAGTTTTTCCATTTCAACGAGTGAACTTCGAGAATCAATTTCTCATTCACCTGTTATTTGTTTTGAGCGTACCACATATCGAATTGTAGCCCGTAACAAGGGCAATCCGAAACCACTTTGACCCGACCCAAATCGAAAGTGGACCCCACTCAAAATATTGCCCCAAAATTACCATCTAATACAATTTTAACACATTTTTCCAACACCGTCATCTCTCGGTCACATTCCATTATAAGTAATTGTTCCCAATAGGAGTAAAACATAACACGTTTCTCTAAATAGAAGTTAACTACTAATCTTCCCCAAATAGGAGTAAACGTTAATTTCTTACCCCTAATACCCCCTATTCTAATTACATATTGCTCCCTAGTTCCCTCGGGCAACCAGGGTAGTCTGTCGGTGGCAGGTAGGGCGTTGGTAGCGGGGCCGTCTGGTGGTGGCGACGACAGACGGCGGCGGAGCTCTGGCGACCGGCGAAAACCCCTATTCTAATTAATTATTGCCCCTCTAGTTCCCTTGGGCAACAAGGGTAGTTCGTCGGTGGAGGAGCAGAACATTGGTAGCGATGGGAGTGCGGTGGTGGCAGACGGCGGCGGCGGCGGAGCTCCGGCTACTGTGACGGTGGCAGGAGGAATGAGGAAAAAATTTGGATTTTTTATACCTCGCTGGAGCTCCGGCGGCAGTCCGGCGAACTCCGGTGGGCGACAGTACTGTAGCAGCCGGCAGCAGCAATGAGAGGGGCATCTTTGTCCATTTAGAAAAAATACTCCTATTTTAGGAATTTTACAAACTCACTCCTATTTTGCACTTTTCATATGTTTTGCTCCTATATAAGGAATTCTCTCTTCCATTATTTACCAATTCGATCTGTTGCGGAGTATTGCCCAGCTCGAGGCATGGTTAGGAGGCATACGAGCTTCTAACACATCTTAAATTCGGTAGAAATTTCGAATCTGTGTAAAAAGATCTTTACACCAAATGCATCCAAAGTACATTCCTCCTGACTAAACCACCAGGCGAAATTTCATCATTTAAAGTGAACTAAGATTCATTTGACCCTTTCAATGGATGGACCAAAAGCCAACTAGAAGTTTGATTGCTGTCATCCTATGGTTAAACTGCTTGTTGAGCAATCAAACATGATTAATTAATATAATACAAATTTCTGGTTACCATGAAAGAGCATGAACAATTCATGTTCTTCCCATGTCTGCACTTTGGATTTCATTTCTAACACACTTACACAAGTGATTCACAGAACTAGCTAGACTTTCAAAATGCAATGCCCTGCCTTAATCCGGTCAGGACTACGCCACGGGAACACCGCTAAGTTGTTCCGCCTTACTAAAAATGCTGATGAATTCGCCACATCTCGAAGTGGCGATCTTTCGTCGCTACGCGCCTCTGCTCTTCTTCTTTCATTGCCTTTAGTAAGACGCCTCAATAGCATCATGTGTTTCTTCTTCTCCTTCTTAATTTGCTTGGCCAAGGAAATGGGAGGCATATCTTCATCAGCTGTCTCTAAAACATCCATTTCTTTCTCAATCTGTTTGGATAATGAAATCTTGGGAGAATTGTGGGTTGATTCTACTGTTGATTCTCTGCTCTTGTCAGTACTGGCCCCTTCACTGGTCCTCAACCTTTCAAGACTGGCTTGAGCGGCATATAGCTGCATCTCCAGCTCATTAACTTTAGCTTTGGAGGCAAGTGCTCTCTCTTTCCATTCTTCCACCTGTCACATGTGTTAGAACATATTCAGTACTCCCTAATCCGTATTACTGAAATTAATATTCTAACATATGGTCGAAATTAAGACTATATTAGTTCTGAATTATTAGTGATGTTTAATGATAGACTAAACTTGTGGTTGATTATGTGTGAGCTCATTTCTTATATAGCTGAAATCTAAGAGCCCGTTTGGTGACTTATTTTTTGGCTTATTAGTCTTACCGACCAACGTTTTTATCGAACGCTAACGTATTAGTTACTATAGATAATCATATTAACTATTTTTCATGCTTAGTATGTACTCTGTAGTATAATTTTTTCTTCATTTTACTTATAAAATATATTTTAAATATAATTTATTCATAATTCAGCAGAATCAACTAGTCCAACCACCTCACCCAGAATTTCATAAATGTCAACATAATCAGCTAATTTTGTCAATTTTATTGTCACCAACGGGTTCTAAATTTAAATACTGCAGAGTATATCAACTAGGCCTGTACAAAAACGGGTTTGGACATGACTTTTTTCTTAACTTTCTGCCCATAAGTATAGGTGGTGTGGCTTGGCCCGCAACAAATGGACCCAATCACATGCCCATACCGTCCGTAAGAATGGACCAGGGAGTTGATCGGGCTTAATATTAATCCGAACCTTTTAATGTACATTTAGGAGTTATTTAATTGGACGGAAATGTTCTAATCTTGTCTAATCTGATAATCTTGTTTTTGAATTGGTTTGATATGAATTGGGATTGAAATAAGAACAAGTAAATGCATCCTTATTTATAATTATATATTGTATCCTTATTTATAATTATATATTGTGAATCTATGGATGAAGGAATATTATGGATGAGGAAAGGAAAGGCATACGGCGAAGCGGAGAGATTGGATGTGGCGAGAAGATCGTTGAGATCGGAGTTCCCAGAAATGGCGAGAAGCATGGAGTTGGTGCATCTCATCCCTGACCCGACCCAGCATCTCCTGCATTTCGGACCATTGCTCCGACTCCTCTTTCACTTGCTCTATGATCTTCCGTACCATCGCTTTGCAACGCCCCGAACATTTCCCTTCCTCCTCCCCTGCCTGTCATAAAATTAAATGGTTAGTTCGACTTTGATAATCCCTTCAAGTTTGTATGAATTTACGTGGTTTCAAATAAAAATACTTTTTATTCATTTTTCAAAAATAATTTATAATTAATGATGTCTCATTCGCATATCATGCGTTGAGAAGTACAAAAGTGATATATTACTACGTATCAAAATAAGAATCCATATCTTAATTTGGGGTATTTGAAAAAGGAAAGCAAGAACACATTAAGGAATAAGAATATATGAGACCGTTTGAATCGATTTCCTAAAACCGTTTCTGCTCCTTTAGAAAGTAGATACATAAATATTGGAGTGTTTAGTGAAAGAGTATAAGTACTTCTTCAAATTGCATCTGGATGCTTTAAATTGCTCATAAAAGTTGTTTTTTAGAATTTTAGGGAGATCAACTTCTGAAAAACTCATTTTGATTATGTTTTTGTTTTTATAAAATAAGCAAAAGCAGAATCAAGTTTATATATGTTTTACAAATGTCAAAGTTTGATCTGGTTTGATCTAATATGTTGTTGTGGTCATTCTAACCGTGAATAAAAACATGTCAAAAACATCCAAATTTACACTTTTGCTTTAACAGATTTCAAAACAAACATGAACTACCAATAACATGTCAATAACATTTTTACCAAAAAAACATGTCAATAACATATATGAAGTTTATTAAATTTTAGTGTCAAAAAGTAATACTGTATACTTTTGAAATAATTAATACTACGTACTTAGTAATTAAAGTAACCAAATCAAACTGAAAAATGCACTTTTTTTTACGGTAGGAAGTGTCGAGACTACATGTTGTTCATCATAAATTCATAATGGCTGGGCTAGATTTTTAAAGATTGGTCTATGGGTGCACTTTTCAGACATTAATTAAATGAAGGCTAGAGTGCCCCCAGACCACAGCATAAAAGAATGGGATGTTTAGGAACACTTTTTTAAAAAAGAATGACACGTGCATTTAGTTAACAACCCAATCAACTACTCCGAAAAGTTGGACATAAATGAAGTTGACATTCATATTCCTTTTGATAAGGACAAAAATGGAAGAAAAAAATTGTTCGAAAAAAAAAATTACTAGTTCAAATTTAAAAAGTGTACGTTTATTGTTTATTTAAATTCATTTTTTAGTTTATTTCTAGCAAATTATATAAAAAAACTAAACCAATGCTAAAAATTGAAACCTTGGTCATACATGCTTCATTTTTCTTTGTGTTTCCAAATTAAAGTCAAACACAAGAAAACAATCAATATTTTATTTTTTTACTTTTACCCTTTTCTAGCATTTTTGGGATTCAAATATAGCCTTAAAGGCAAAAGAACTTTACCTGATGTGGTTGTTGAGGGGAAAAAGCAGATGGCACTGAACAGTTTTCAATTTGCTTGGAAGTTGAAGGTGGTGAACTGGGAACAGAGCTATTGGCAGTGATTGAGTTTATTGCTCCATATTCTTCTGCCTCCCTTCTGTCTAACATGCAATTTGACTCTCCTTCCATTGTCTTTGATAACTCACTCTCAATTACCTTTTCAATTTTCACATCAAATAAAAGTTCATTAATATGCCTTGTAACATTACTTCATATAATCATCTGAGCATAGTTTGGTAAAAAGTGATTTGATATCAACACTTTTGAGTTTGGGCATTTTTTAAAAAAACTTTTCAGAAAAATGAAAGTTTGTTGGTTGATATAAGAATTAGCTTAATGCTCCCATAGTGAGTTAGAAAAGGTAAAAGCAACAAAACAATGTGTTTGACAAAACTAGAATTCAAAAATGAGAAACTGTTTTGATGCTTCAAAAATCATTTGACTTTTTAAAAGGTGAATCCAAACGGGCACTTCTCCATCCCGCAAAAAGAGAGAGGTTCCTAATACTAATTTCAATATCCTTATTTGACTTAGCGTTCTGACTTTGGAAGTTTTTATTAAAGTAAATATAATGTGGTCGAAATTAGTTTAGAAAAGTGAAAAAAGTGAACAAATATCAGCAAGATGATATTTAATTTCTTGGAAGTAGAAAAAAATGAAAGAAAGTTTTTTATTTTAGGTAGAGTAACAAAAAGAGGATTCTCCATAAATATTACAGAAATATAATTATCGGACAAAAATATTATTATAGTTACTAAGCATAGTCACTATAGTGATAGAGTTGAGCACAATCATAGTCACTATAGTTTATTTAGTAGTCCAAAAACTTTATTTAGTAGTCACTAAGTCATATTTTTGTCTACTATCTTTAATTCAGTAATACATTTGTTCCTTTTGTAATAAAAAACTTAAATAACAAATACTCCGTAATTATTACGGTGAAAGTGAAAAATTTAATTATATTTTTGCTTTCATTATCGTTTCAGTATGACTCTTCCTTATTCAAAGTTCTTGCATTTCTTTTTAGGATGTCCATAAATAGGTTATAAATGTTGTTAATGCACATATCTTGTATACATCACTCCTAATTGTCTTTTCTACACATGCAATTCGTTTAGAAGCTGTCTAGTAGACAGACAATTAAAGGAATGTACACAAAAAATGTACAAAATATGTATACACCAAGCATGGTTCTAAATAGGTTCATATATCCTAATATGATAAAGAAAGTCTTATCAATTTAGTATATTACTCTCAATAATAAGATAATTCAAATTTAAACATATTTTTAACAATGTACTCTCTGGTAATAATTACTATTAGATTACAAAGCATTTAAAAAATCTAATTTCTGTAAGTGCATATTTTGTAGAAAGTCGTAGTCTTCAAACTCTTATACAAAACAATATACTTGTACGTAGTATAAAAGTTCCAAAGACTCTTAGTTCTATGTTTGGTAAAATAGCTTTTGGAAGCTACAAAGCATTTTAGTACTACTTCAGTTAAAGTTTTTTAGAATTTTTGAGTTACTAAAGCCTAAAAATTACTTAACACTGAAAATGATTTTTTTAGCTCCAAACACACATTAAACTACAGTCAAATCAAAACTTTTTTATGGGATGGAAGGACTAAGATTTTAGAATAAAGGAGGCTTGCTAAAAATATGGGATGATAGAGAAGTGTAACACTTATCAGCAAACTAAAGTTTAAGCATGAAAGAAAAGTGTAATTCTAAGATTTCTTACATTTGTTGATTGATCAAGAGACTCATTGTGAGTTTGGGTGCCATTACTGATCATGGAGTTTGTTTCAGAGAGATCGTCCTGTTGACATCTTTCACAGGAGGATCCACTGAGCTTTTCCAGAATCCTTTTCTGCAACAGAAAAGTTTGCTTATCAAAGTCACTGCACTTGTTCTTCTCCAAATCCCTGTTTTTCTTGGAGCTATTTTTCAGCTCCTCCTCCTTCTTAACCAAATCCTCAATCTCTTCCTCTCCAATGGCCTCCACCTCCTTTCCTACAAAAGCTTCCTTCTTTCCCTACATATCCCACATGTCAATTTCAGAAACCCCAATTACTCCCAACAGAAATGGATAAAAATATCAAACAAAAGAAAAACATAGATTGGGTGGGAGCTAACCAGAGTCTGAACGGCCGATTTCAGAGTAGTGTCCGTTTGAGCTCTGTTTTTCTCAAGCTTCTTCAGAGCAAACTCTCTCTCCATCCTCAGGAAATCACACGCCGCCTGAAACATCGCCGCTTCGCCATCGCCGTGGTCGATTCTCTCTGTGTTTTCGGTGGACGAAACAGAGTTCAGAACCACAATGGGGACATCGCCGGAAGCCGAGAACTCTCTCCCATGGATGAAGAAATTCTCCAGGTCCTCCGGGTAGGACCCGTTGTGAAGATCCACAGGTGCGAGCGAGTGGCGGCGCCGTTTCTGCTCGGCGGAGAAAGGGTGTTTCTTGGCGGTGGGTTTGGGGCTTTTCCGGCGAGGTCTTCTTGGCAAGTGGATGATTTTGGGGCTGTGGGGCGGCGGAGGCGGCGAGGGGTGCCGCCATTTCAGCCTTCTTGATGGCGTGGGGGTCGTCATTATTAGTATATTCTGTTCTATGATTCTCCCGGCGGAAGTCAAAAAATGGTACGAAGAACAGAGTGAAGGTACAGAGTCAGTGGGATGGAATTTGAATTTAACGGCAGGGGAGATGAGAAGAAGAGAGGGCTTCCTTTTCCGTATTTATAGTGGCAGAGTAGTGGATGGGTTAGGAACAACTCTTACCCTTTTTTACATTAGGGGACAACCCTAAAATAGCGTTGGTTGTTTGTCAAATGACGCTAGAAAAAACCTCATTGACTTTTAATCCCTCCCCTAGAGTTTTGGTTAATCAATGTGGACTTGAGCTGTTTATGATTGAAATCTTCATTTTGACTAATTTTGGGCTCCACACCGTTATTTTGAAATGGGTATATAGTTACTCATTCTATTTGGCTGTGTTAGATTCCTTAGATAGGTAGTACCATAGTCGCATCTCACATAAATTATATCCACTAATTGCAACTTAAAATTTAATCGGAAAGCCTAAATAAATTAATGGAAAAACACACGCGTACACTCCATATAAAAAGTACAATGTTTTTCAATAATTTATTTAACGGGCTTCTTTATTAAATCTTGAGTTGAAATTTTATAAACATAATTTAAAGTTCATGAGAGCCTAGCCTGAGCATTTTTGCTTATATATGTATGTGCAAAATAGGAACATACCTAAGGAAATGAGGGACTCCGGGGGGAAGGGATTTAACATCTTTATTATTCGAAACAAACTCGAAAAGCTCGAATCAATTTTCTTTTACAAAGGAAGTGAGGCAACAACGTTGTAACCTACGGAAGATCAATTCAGAGTACTCTTGTCGATCTCGAGAAGTGTGGGACTTCGTATAGAGAACATATGGATTTAATACGTAGTATATTTCATCTTTGAATAAATGGTCAATTTGATCCATTTTGTAAAATAGACGTACTTGTATGATCTTTTTTAGTACACGGGCTTAAGTGACAGAATGAAAATAACAGAAAAACTTATTTAACCTTTTTTCCAATTTACAATAACTACTTGTACACACATTATTCATCAAATCAATTATTTGTCGATCATTAGTGTAACACACGGGTCACTTAGCATATACGAAATACATAAAGTTATTGCGGTTCAAATAAAAAGAATCTGCTTGTGCAAAATTAATTAAATACACATGAATTCCCTTCTATCAATCCATAATGCACGTTCAAGCTCAAATTAATGCACTTTTGTTGAGACAATTTTTTTATTACGGAGTATATATTATTTATCAAAATGTTAGCACATATTTTAATCAAGTAGTTTTATTATTGGCACATTTGGGGTCTTTAGATCTTAAATTGGACGCGCTTCAGTCGTTTTTTTTGTATAGAAAGATGAATTTCTATTTCAACCAAAGATTATACATACTTGAATATATATGTATTAACTCCGTGACAATTTGCTAATTGATTTTGACCCACGCCATAGTTTGTGTGTCGTCTGCCGTTGAGAATGGTTATAGATTTGAAGAATTTTATACTTGGTCTCATATATACACTACACTAGATTACCCAAATCAAAACAAGTGTGTAATTAGACCACGTACTTTCATCACGTTTAAATCATAAATCAGTTACATTTTACGCTCAAATTAAAGACTTTAGGCCAATCCATCAAACTATATAAGCACACAATTGCAATAAAGATGTTTTTACTTGGACTGTTTTCTGTCTCAGACTAGACTAGACCATACTTAAACAGATCAAATCAGACCAAATCATACCAAATCAGAATTCAATTTTCTTGAGTTCTTTAGGGTAAATAAAATTTACTGCAAATTTATAAAGAACTACTTGACTTGACGAAACGCCACAGTTTAGACAAATCTATGTATCATATTGACTGAATATATTTTTGTTCTCATATATACATGTGCGCTAATGCTTCCTAACTAGCTTGCCTATTACCAAGTGGTCCATGAATGTGTGTCTGCGGGAACAGAAGATAGTGTTCTCCAAATAATATACTTCAAGAGTTCGAGTCTTCCACACAAACCTTGAAAGAATCAGTACTTCAAATAAATTTTATTGCTTCTATTTAGAAAAAATAGTACTCCTATTTTAAATTCTAGCGTTTTTTTTTTTAATTTTTTTCGGGGACTTTTCCAATTGGATACTACGTACATACGAAGTATATTATCATAATATGAAGTAATCACACATATATGAGTAAAAGTGATAGAAAAAAATGTGACCTTTGCATGAAGTGATCGACCATCATCATTATATTCAATTTTATACTATAATGACCACAAAGTTGTGCAAGTGGTAATTTTAGTCGCAATTTTGTCCTTGTGACTTGTGAGCAATGTTTTAGGAAAACCACATTATTATTATTATATATAAAATCGTTTATATAAATCCAAATTGATGTGTCATATGTATTTTCCAAATGCAATAATAAGAAAATACTGGCTCTTTTTTAATCATTCGAACGAAAGCAATATTAAACCAATTAATAATTGTAATAAGTAACCATGATTAATTAATAATAATAACAAAGTCTAATATAGGACTGTCATGTTTTTATTTCAAAAATTCTAAAATAGGACTGTCATGTTTTTATGTCACAAATAGGAATAATTATGCCAAATTTGGAAGATATAGTCATGTTTAAAGTTTGATACTGCCAAAACATGACAGTAATTAATCATATTTTGCGAATCAAAATAATGATGCTCCTATTTTAAAATGTATAAACGTTTTTAGTTTTGTTTCCATAAAAGGGAACTATCCGGTCCATCCTCTAAATCTTCCACATATTGATATATGTGTAAATGCCATTTTGCATAACAAATAATATATTAATCAAACAAATTAAACAGATACAATCCTTAGAAGGGCACTACGTATAGAACATGCATGCATGTTCTTCGATCGATGAATGAATTGATTCTACATTATAAATTACTCCCCCTCGCACAAAATATGATCATTATATATTGATACAATCAAGTTTAACCAATTATATTTTTAAGATGAAATTAATGAAAATATGTAAATGGTACAAAGATGCTCTTTATCAAGAATACATTCTTGAAAGTATCAAAATTATACTCCATATAAAATAGCTAAAATTATTCTCCAAAGTTTATGAGACGGGAGTATTCCTTACGAGCACACTACTTCTTCATGGAAGCGAAAAGGAAGAGTGGAACAACGGCGAAGAGGGAGAGGAGGGCCAACACATATCGGAAGTCAAAAACTTGAAAAATGTATGACTTGAGCATTGCCAAAAACAGAATCAGAACCAGAAAAACAACCGCGTGGACAAGGATGTTGTCGTCCGCCATTTATGTTAATTAATAATATATAGTACGTAGTAGTATTATACGAATTGAAGAAGTATGTATATGAGGTTTTCTAATTGTATATGATCTTCTTGAATGTATCAATACCTATATATAATGGCGAATTTATGCGATGGGGTTAATGAAAGGAGACCAAATAATTGGCATGTGTCGCCATTGATTTCCTTATTTATGAGATCACCATATCATATAGCAATTTATTCGTCTCTTCAATGCATGCAATTGTACACTTGTACTCCGTATAATATAAACGTAGTATATTGCATATTGCATGCATTCATTATTATACTACTCGTTTTTAGACAACCATAGATTACTACTCCGTATTTACTAGTGATTGATTTTTAGGGTTCAATTCCTTTCTTTTTTCAATCGCTTAAATGGTAAGTAAATTTTGTGACGATCCAAATTATTATTGTTTCGTGTACTTCGAATTTCATTATAGTTATTCTCGCATTAACTAATAGAAATGTTTTCATGTGTGTAGATTTCAATAACGAAGTATATAAAACATAACGTACATAAATAGATCAGACTATAGTATAGATTCAAACATATCAGACTTTGAGAAAATAAAAACACACAAAATAATAGATCGCTTCATACAAGACCAAATTAAATGCCCCATATATAACTTATTTTCATAGTTAGTTAATTAAATATGACACTAGAAATAAGGATGTTTTTACTTGGACTATAATTTGCTGGTCTGGACTGGTCTGATCTGGTCTGATCTGATAAGGTCTGGTTTCTTTGAATTTTTATAACTATCCAAGTCTGGTTTGGACTGATCTGGTCTGGTCTGTTCTGAGACAAATTACAGTCCAAGTAAAAACATCCTAAATGAGGTTTTAATATAATACGCATGTGTTTTATTTAGTAACCAATAAAAATATGCTAAAAATTCTGAGTTTTTTCCTAAAATAATGCGAAACAAAAAAATATTTACACAATTCGATTTGGGTTAAAACTATTTCCCAAATTAAAATGTTAAAGTTAGGAGATTTTCGGACTCCTACTTTTTCAATTCTACACTATTCCCTACCCCTATTATTTCTCTTTAAATATTGTGCCAACACCTAATGTAGTGATCTTTTGAATACGTAGAGAGTATCAAAATTCACAAATTTTTATGATATTTCATATGACACCAATTTTATATATATAAATAAAAAGCATAAAGTTTTAATGGTTGGAGTCCTCTTGGGCCCAAAAAACGGATACAAATTTTAAATCCGTGACGCCTCCAAAATTAACCGAATATAACATGAACTCATTTTTATTTTTATTAAAAATGAAAAAGGTAAAAAACAAAATTATTGATTTCTTTTATTTTTTGAGATACATATATAAAAATAAATTTTAGAGATTAGAGCAATAAATTACTTGAACTCAGTTCATTTTAAATTTTTGAGATACATTTATAACAATTTCTTAAATCTAGTTCATTTTTTGTTAACCGATCGAAAAGCGTTAAAAATTAATGAAATTTAAATTTTTTACATTGAAATAATTTTTTAATTTCATAATTATATTAACCTAGTTAAATTCTGACTTGTCATATAATTAAGAATAATATTAATTTTTTAATGTGTGGCGCCACATCATTATTGTGTTAGTAATAAACTAACGGTGTTAAATTGTTGGGTGTTGTATCGATAGCTGTTAGGTCCTTGTTTTCTATTCTAGAATATGTATGGAAGAATGATCTAAGTGTTTGTGAAGTTTTCCATTGATGATGATGAAGTTTACAGAATGATGAAGAACATGTAGCGTAAAACTTCTATCACAAATATAGGCACTGCGGCTCTGGGAAA